GTGGTAGTTTTCTCAGGCCACCCTGCCTAATGCAAACCAGCATCCCAAAATTATATCAGTTACATGAACCCATTTGTCAGTGTGGAGCTGGTTGCAAGGCTAAATAGTTAAGGAAGGTTGCTCTGCTCCTTTAAAACCCTCAATTTTCCCCTTGCCTGGCTTAAGTGCACATTTGCATCTTCAGAACCCCCCTCCCTCCCCTCCCTTCTCCAATCTGACATCTCTAAATAAAAACTCTCTGCTTGGACTAGTTGCCTCTTCTCCTGCCTTGGGAAAAATCTGTCCCGGTGCTCCGGGAGATATTCATTGCCACTTTAAATCATATTACAGCGTGCAAAGCAAAAATATGTGGGGTGGAGGGGAAGAATAAATAAAAATAAACCAGTGGTCTCTTAATGAGCTGACTGTACTTTGCATCAAGGGGAAGAATAATACTAAGGAGGGGGAAGAGTGAGAAGCTGTATATTTATGTGTGTTAAAAATAATATATAATTGGTTTCCCGCCCCCCCATCATATTGCAGCTGTTGCCTAGGCATAAAGAGCAGAGCGAGAGGTGGGATATATATATGAATATGTATATGTGTGTGTTGATATTGTGTGTGTGTATATATTCCTCCTTGCACAGATAACCTGTGAGAGAGGTAGAGAGAGAGATTTTTCAAAAAGTTATTATTGGGAAATAGCAAAGCGGCTGGTATTCTCAGCGAACCGAAGTCTGCAGAATTGCTCCGCCCTTCTCAGCTTGTTGGAAGGGGTGTTAAATTCTTGAGCATTGGGAATGGGAGCAGAGGCTTCACGCTCTCCTTTCCTCCTCTCTCCGCCAGTATCACTACTGACCCCGCCTCGTTTTCTAGTGAGATGCGGTGCAGACACTAAGCCTTAAAGCTCAGGAACGTGCCCCCCCGAGAACAAGACGGACTAGTCACCTAGGTCAGAAGGACTGCTAGAAGCGTTTTCTCCTTCTCCTTGTTCGCCCCCCGCCTCGCCTGCCTTCCACTCTTCTCTGCATTACCTGGACGCTGAGCATCGCTCGCTCTCTGTGCGTGGGGGGGGGGGGGGTGCAGCTCCATCAGAACCTCGAGTGATCCATCTCGGGATGACGCGACAGGGATCCCAACTCCTCGCTTAAAGGCAGCTTCGTTTAGGAGGCAAGCGGTGGGCTCCGGAAGGGCTTTCCCGCACCCACATCTTCTTCCTATTTATTTTTATTTCCACCATCTCCAGCTGGCTGAGTAGGAAACTGGACGAAGGTACGGTGGCACTTCTCCCTCCCTCCCTCCCCCGCCAAAAAAGCACCCAAGCTAGGAACGGCGCGGTTGGTGGGGTGGTTTAGCGGCGCGTATTTCTTACTGGTATGGAGGACGGGGGTGGATCTGTGCCTGTGATTCTTTTGCTTCTCCCTCCCCGCCAAACTAGGTATTCGTCTTTTTTCGTGTATTAAGGGATAGAGAGAGGTGTCTGGTGTGGGGGAGTGGAGTTATTATTATTATTATTATTAGGAGTATAAGAAGTATATTCGGTTGCGTGGACGAGGTCTCTGGGTCCTGAGGTTTCTCTGGACTTTATGCAAAAGAGGATTACTCAAAGCGCAGAGGGAGAGTGCGTGAAACTCTCCTGCGGTTGGACTGAGGGACCTAGAGCCGCGGGCTGCCGTCTAGGTGGACCTGCTGATAAGCGGCTTTTGTGTGTGAGAGAGAGTGTGCAGGGGGTGGCAGTGTGTGTGCACGACCTCCAGCGGCGTGTGGCTCGCCGTGCGCCCTTCTCTCCAGGCCGTGCGGTCGTGAGAACGCACGATCCTCCCGTGCAGCGTGTTAATATATATTTTTGCCGGTGTAACCTTGGGGGGTATGTGTGTGCGCGCGTGCGCCAATGTCTCCTCGCCTCCCCTCCACGGTTCGGGTCCCTGCATTAGCTCGGCGTATATGTGAGAATTTTGCATGGAGGACTGTCGGTCCTGTTTCTGTGCGTACGCGTATCTTCTCTTGCACTGGGGCTGTATCCTGTGGCTCGCGCGCATCTTAAGCGCATCTCTGGGCTGCGTCTCTCAAGTGCGTTTTGGACGCCGGGCGCTTGTGTGAGTGTGTGTGCGCGCGCGCGCACGCCTTTGCGCACCTTCTGCTCTCCCTGCCTGCTGGTGTGTGTGTGTGTGTGTGTGTGTGTGTGTGTGTGTGTGTGTTTAGCTGGTTCCTTTCCTGATCCGTGTGTTTGTGTGTGTGTGTGCGCGTGTGCGTGTGCGTGTGCGCGCTCGTGCGATTCTTTCTCTGTGTGCCCTGCGTTGTGTCGCATGGAGAGCTGGCGCTGAGTACGGGGCTCCGTAGCCTGCTTGGGTCTCCTCTGTGTGTGTGTGTGTGTGTGTGTGTGTGTGTTTTGGGGTGGGGAGAGAAGAGAAGAGAAAGCAAGCACACACACACACACACACAAGTCCCCATCACGTAGAGAGAGAACCCCAGAAACTGCATAGCAGAAAAAGGGAGAGAAAGACAGAGGAACCAGAAGCCGCGTTTGGGTAGCTTGAGCCGGCTAAGCAAGGTAAGGATGGGGGGGGGGGGGGGTTGAGAGAAAAGGGGTAGGCTTTTGCCCAAGATAAGAAAAGCGCGCGGGGGATGGAGATTGCATGCATTTCAGCAATGGGGGGAGTGTGTTCAGAGGGACGGTTTCTCCTTTGCAAATGGATCTTTCCCTTGCAGTTCTCTGTCTCACCCCCTCCCTATTTCCTCTGGAGATCCACGTGAAAGGGGTTTGTTTGGTGAGAAAGAGAGAACTGATTTTGGGAGCGACGGGGTGGGGGCGCTTGACACTGTCTTCCACCCACCCGTTTCCCCGCCGGCCCTCCGCTCCGATATATCTATCTATCTATCTCCCGGGCGGGCCGCGAGGGTATGAAAGAGAGGAGGAGGTGAAAAGAGAGACCCTCTTCCGAGCGCCCCGAGGGAGCTGCCCGCACGCCGGAGGCAGGCGATCCGGGAGCGGCAAGGCTGCGGCAAAGCATTGCGGTGGAGCACCCCCCGCACCGCACCGCTGCCGCCGTCCCTAGGGAGAAACCGGGCAGGGAGCCCGCCAGCTTCGGATGGGGGGGGGGGGGAGGCGGAAGGCAGCCCAGCTGTGGGTTCTTCCTCCTCAAGTCATAGCCTCCCTCTTCCATCTCATAGCAGTCAGCTTCTCCGTTCCTCGATCCTGCCCCAGAGGCCTCATTCAGTGCCATGGGAAGGGTCCTTCTACGAATTTTTCAGACCTCCGTCCATCATCCATCTTCCCCACGCCACCACTTTCTCTTCCAAAGAATCCCAACGCTCCCTCAACCTCTCCCACGTTGCCCAGTCCTCGCTGTATCCGTCGCCCCCAAAAGATCCGAGCCTGCATGTTCCTCTCTTTTCCATCCTGCCTTTTCTACTCTTCTTTCTGATTCTCTCTCCCCCCCCCCCCGTCTGCCACACTCTACCCCTGTTCATCCCTGACTCCCACCCTCCTCTCCATTTTTCTTCCCTTCTGGTCTCCCATGACCTCCACCTTCTCTCCAGGCTCAGTTTTTCCTTACTCACTTTCCTTACACACTCTTGTCCTGGTCTAATCACACATATACTTTCCTTTCTTCCCCACCAGACACAGATTTCTGCATCCTTTTCATCCTTCAAATTCTCCTTGGCCTTCCCTTCCTCCCCCCTTTCTTCTCCTTCTCCTTCCTTCTTTTTCTAACACCGCCCCAAGTTCCATTCTGTGATCTTCATTGTTCTCCAAGACAACTCCTGGACTTCCTTAGCAACCCATTTTATTTTATTTTATTTTATTTTGCAACTCATTTTTCTTCTCTTCTCTCCCTCTCCCTCTCTCTCCTTCATAAAGAAGGCAACCCAAATGTTTAAATGTCACAAATGCGGTTCAGCAACTTCTTCCCCCAGGAGGTCAGGCAGGGTCCTGTGTTGAAATAAAACTTGAATGCACATCTGCTGCCAGATTAGGCCATAGATGTGTGTGTTTGTGTATGTGTAAGATTCATGGAATCCACCTCCTGTGAGAATGCAGAGGTTTGGGGCAAATTATATAAGGTTCTGCATGATAAAAGTTGCTGGACAGTTTGGATGGATTTCAGCCTAGTGAATTATGACTCTGGTTTGCACTGCCGATTAAGGTGCCCTTTTGGGATGCTGGATGCACACACACACACACCTATAATAAGCACTGTTAATTTGTAAATGTAGAGAGCTGTAGCCTCTGGGTTATGAGGGGGAGTAGTTAATGTTCCTGGGTTGCATTTTTTTGGGGGGGGGATTTTTAGCATAAATCTAAAAAAAGAACAGGAGGCACATATCAATGGCTGGCACAGAACTCAGAATCAATAGGGGGACAGCATGCATTTGCAATGAGCATTGTGTAAGAGCAGATGACCATCTTCTCTTCCCTAGATTCATTCCTTGCTCACTCCCGCTTGCATCTTTGCCTTTCTGTGCTAGATTGTCTCTCCCGCGCCCCACACACTGCCTCTCTTTCTCCTGCCTTTGGAATGGATTATGCATTGCTTCCAAATACGTGATCCAAATCCTTCTGACTATGTGCAAAATGACCGGCATTGGAATGCTAAGCATACATTACAATGGAAATGCAGTTTAGCGGGGGCTCATTCTGTTTTGGTATTCACGCCGTACACAAGACAGAGTAATGCACTGTATCCATGTATTGTGTGTATTTGAAAAAGAGAGGCTGAAGCTATGGATGGATAGACACTGATCAGAGTTATAATTTCAAATGCAAGGTACATCTGTGCCCTTTTTTGAATTGCCGCAATACATTTTATGTTGTCCTTGTACTGTACCTATTCTTGTTCAGCAACAGTAGCTCAATGTGTGCTGTTCAGCTATTTACTATTAGTACTATTTTTATTTTTTATTCCTGGAATTATTACTACTGAAACATATTCTATCTTTGTCCTCCTTCTTTTGTAGATTATCTGTCTTTGTTCAGGAGCAGTAGGCTTGATTGCTGATCCTAAAACAAAACAAAAAAGATGCTTCTGTGGTTCTTTCTGGTGTTGTCCAGCCCAGCTTCTTCTACGGATCCAGAGACTGACTCATCTGTGGAAATTTGCAATGTTTGCTCCTGTGTGTCGGTGGAGAATGTACTTTATGTCAACTGCGAAAAGGTTGCAGTCTACAGACCAAACCAGCTGAAACCACCTTGGTCTAATTTCTATCACCTCAATTTTCAGAACAACCTCCTCCTCCTCCTGTATCCAAATACATTTCTTAACTTTACTCATGCTGTGTCCCTGCAGCTGGGTAACAATAAATTACAGAACATTGAGGGAGGAGCTTTCTTAGGTCTCAGTGCGTTAAAGCAGTTGCACTTGAACAACAACGAATTAAAGATCCTCCGAGCTGACACCTTCCTTGGCATCGAGAACTTGGAGTATCTCCAAGCTGACTACAATTTAATCAAATATATTGAAAGAGGAGCCTTCAATAAGCTTCACAAGCTGAAAGTCCTCATCCTTAATGACAATCTGATTGCCTTCCTTCCTGATAATATTTTCCGTTTTGCTTCTCTAACCCACCTAGATATACGTGGGAATAGAATACAGAAGCTGCCGTACATTGGAGTTCTGGAGCACATTGGTCGCATCGTCGAGCTGCAGCTGGAGGACAACCCATGGAATTGTACTTGTGATCTGTTGCCTTTGAAGGCATGGCTGGAGAACATGCCCTATAACATCTACATTGGGGAAGCCATCTGTGAGACTCCCAGCGATTTGTATGGGAGGCTTTTGAAAGAAACCAACAAGCAAGAGCTGTGCTCCATGGGAACAGGGAGTGATTTTGATGTGCGCATCCTGCCTCCATCACAGCTTGAACCTGGTTACAGCACACCTAATGGCCATGCAACACAAACATCCATGCACAGATTGGTAACCAAGCCTCCCAAGACGACAAACCCTTCCAAGATCTCAGGGATAGTCGCTGGGAAATCACTCTCCAACCGTAATCTCAGTCAAATAGTAAATTTTCAGACCAGAGTGCCACCTCTGACACCTTGCCCACACCCCTGCACTTGCAAAACACACCCTTCAGATTTGGGATTAAGTGTCAACTGTCAAGAAAGAAATATTCAGTCACTGGCTGAGCTTACCCCCAAGCCGCTGAATGCTAAGAAACTCCATGTCAATGGCAATTATATTAAGGATGTGGATACTTCTGATTTTGCAGAGTTTGAAGGGCTGGATTTACTCCACCTGGGCAGCAATAGGATCATGACCATTAAAGGGGAGGTTTTCCGCAACCTTACAAACTTGCGGAGATTGTATCTAAATGGCAATCAGATTGAGAGGCTGAGTCCCGAAATGTTTGCTGGCCTCCACAATCTCCAGTACCTGTATTTGGAATACAATGTCATCAAGGAAATTTTAGCAGGCACTTTTGACCTCATGCCAAACTTGCAGCTTCTCTACCTGAACAACAACCTGCTACGGAGTCTGCCAGCCTACATTTTTTCTGGGGCTCCCCTTGCTCGGTTGAACTTGAGAAACAACCATTTCATGTACCTGCCTGTAAGTGGTGTGCTCGATCATCTGAAATCCCTGACACAGATTGATCTGGAAGGGAATCCGTGGGACTGCACTTGTGATTTGGTTGCTTTGAAGCTGTGGCTGGAGAAGCTCAATGACGGCATTGTGGTGAAGGAACTGAGATGTGAGACGCCTGTGCAGTTTGCTAACATGGAGCTGAAGACACTAAAAAATGAGATCCTGTGCCCCAAACTTCTGAAGTCTGCTGTTTTCACTAGTCCTGCACCCTCTGTCACATTTACAACACCATTGGGCCCCATTCGTAGTCCTCCAGGTGGTCCTGTTCCATTGTCTATCCTCATCTTAAGCATATTGGTAGTGCTCATTTTGACTGTCTTTGTAGCTTTCTGTCTTCTCGTCTTTGTCCTCCGCCGCAACAAGAAACCGTCAGTGAAGCACGAAGGTCTGGGGAATCCAGAATGCAGCTCCATGCAACTTCAGCTTCGGAAGCATGATCACATGTCAAACAAGAAGGACACTCTGGGGGCAGAGGCCTTCATCCCCCAAACCATTGAGCAGATGAGCAAAAGCCATGCCTGTGGCTTAACGGAAACAGAAACAGGCTTCATGTTTGCCGAGCCATCGGGGCAGAAGGTCATCCTGCGAAACAACAGTGAGAAGGATAAAGATTTATTGCACATGGATAGCAGGAAAAGACTTAGCACAATTGACGAACTCGATGAGTTATTCCCAGGACGGGATTCCAATGTCTTTATTCAAAATTTTCTTGAAAGTAAAAAAGAATACAACAGTATAGGGGTCAGTGGCTTTGAAATACGGTATCCAGAGAAACAGCAAGACAGAAAAAACAAGAAATCTTTAATAGGGGGTAACCACAGCAAAATAGTCGTTGAGCAAAGAAAGAGCGAATATTTTGAGCTGAAAGCGAAACTTCAGAGCTCACCAGACTACTTGCAAGTCCTTGAAGAACAAACAGCACTGAATAAAATGTAGGTCATGCAATCTTATATCCTGCAGAGGACCTGTATTTAATGATGCAAGTGCCTTTTGTTGACTTTTAATTTCCATATAGATATTCAACCAGTAGGCATAGAGGCAGGTGATCTTATGGGTGTGTGATAAAACTTGCTCCAAACAGATATTATTTCATGAAACTCTTGCGCTGTGGAATCCTGTAGGGGTTTACTGCAAAACTCTATTGCCAAAGTGTTGCTTTATACACGTATTACACTGAATTTAACCTCAAGAGGCATATATGTTTTGTACCCTAGTTGCAAAACTCTTCATCACTTTGTGATTTGTTAAAGCAAATGCAAAAGTGAACAGGAACGAAACTGGTACCGCTGTTAGTGTACTCAGCTGAGTCATCCATCTGCACATGGATTAAAAAGTTGGTGGAGCAACTGGAAATAACCATTCCCTATGGTGTGTGATGTTGTAAGCAGCACTGTTTTAGAGAATACCTGAAAAAAAGTTTTTACAAAACAAAAAACTTTTAAAAAGCATGCAAAAGAAAGAACAGTCGATAGTATGTGTAAAATTGGTTACCTTTATGGCCTGCATCTTGAAACTGCTGGATTTATAATGTTAAATTGTGCAGAGATCTTTGTTTAAAATATACCATGCATTGCATCCCTACAAATCAATTTGACCATCTGACGCATACCACAAATTGGCATAAGATGGAACCAACTCAACCCAAGCTGATGAACAAAACAAAAATGGTGGTGTACACAATTGGAAGAAAATACTTGATGTGGGACTACTCTGTGGCTTCTCAACCCCTGTTAACCCATTCTCAGTGATGTGAAACTCCTTTCAAACCCCTAGAGGTTATCCAAAATTTTCAAAAAGATTGCTTGCTGTGTGAGCGTTTCAGAAATTATTTTTGTAATATAATTCATATTTATGAAATACTTTGTATACTAAATAGGAAAAAAATTATGTACTCCTCAATATGTATTTAAATATGCCTGATTTGTTTTCCTGGTCACAAAGGTGCATTAATCATTCAGTATAATTTAAAAAAAGAACAATATACCAAACAGAAACTGTTGATGAAATGTATAGATTTATTTGAAAGTCAATGTGATCAGGTCTAAGACGAATAATAATAATAATGATAATAAAATTATGTTCTGTACTACGCTTGTGAAATTAGCAGGTGATCTTACTTAAGATTTGTTCCAAGAGAATTGTACAGAGTTAGGTAGATTTGCTCTAAACCTTTTGATATATCATATGCTTCTGGTTGCCGCTAGTGTTTTTGAAACACCCGGACTCCATTAGGCTTTCATTTTGTTCTTAAGTCTACTCAGATTGGGTGTTGGGGAACTTTAGCCCTGCAGATGTTGCTGAATTATGACTTCCATCATCCCTGGCCATTGACCATCTATACAATATGAAGGCAGATGGGGAAGCTGTGGCCCTCCAGATGTTGTTAGACTTACTCTCATCATCCCTAACCATTTACCAAACTGACAGGGGTGATGAAAACTGGAATCAAACAAAGGAGGACCATGACTTCCCAATCCCTATTGCAAAGTGTGTAATGTTGATTGTAGTTTGTCAGGTGTTTGTAAACCATCACTGGTTGTTTTTTTCCAGCTTCAGGCTGGAACCAACAACAGGAGGTTTTCCAAGACTTTACTCGGAGGGTTGCACACAACCATACATGTAAATCGTGTGCACATAGGTCAAATAACCCTATGAACGGTAGTTGTTCACGGTGCTGGGCTCTGTGAGGGGTAAACTACAGTCCCAAGATTCCTGGGTGGCTGTGCTTTAAATGTACAGTGGGTGTGCGCAGCAATTTCCCAGGACAGTGCTACTCTGTTTTCCAGTTCCCGAGAATCACTTGGCATGTCTGTGTTCCTATTTTTATGTCGTTTGGTGGTGCTTTCTTAAACCTTTAGTTAGTGTCAGTTGCTAGATATGTTCAGGGTTCTGCAACCTATCCTGGTCTCTAACAAATTCTGCAAGCGGAAGGGGGATACTTTTTCCCTCTAACGCACATTCATGTATGTGTGTGTGTGTGTGTGTGTATCATCAACCACTGCACAATGCAGCTACCAAGGTATGTTTTGAATTGTTGATAACCCAGTTTAGGACAGCCTTTTAGCATGCACTTAATGCAAAGGACAATTGGCTTTCAAATCAGTGGGGCATAAGGAGACAGAGATGGGATGGAGCAACTGCGGCTGTGCAATGTTCTTGGTCTCTAGCTCCCATCATCTCTGGCCATTAGTCATGCTGTTGTCCAATAATATCCCAAAGGCACCACTATGCTGGCTACCTATGGTCTAGGAGGATTGCTGAGACACACTGAGCCCATTATTTAGCTAGCAACTGTTTGCAAAATGAAAAAGAAAGTTGGGTTAGATGAGGGACTGGGACTTGTTACCCTCCAAATGTTGCTGAATTACCAATCCTATCACCCTTGAGAACTGATCATGCTGCCTGGACTGGAGTTGATGGGAGATGAAGTCCAACATCATCCTTTGAGGTGCAATTTGCTCAACCCCGAAGTCAAGCAATTGGTGAAGACCAATGTGCAGTTTTTGTGTTTGTGTTGGGGCAGTTCTTAGGTACTGATCTTTTCTCCTTGGAATTGTTGAAGGATATGCAGTTTTCTGTGCATCCCATGTGGGTCACATTCCACTTGGTAGGCCACCATTTGTGCAGGCTGAGTTTTGAGATATCACTAACTTAGCAGAGTTGGTGATATGCAGTGGGTTTTAATGATAATTTTGTAACACACAGGGCCTGCTCCACCATTAAGCAGAGAGACAGACACATGCAGCAGCAGATGCTGGGGATCAGTGGCTGCAGAGCCCGTTCTCACAAATACACCTGAGCCATGGGCATCCTTCTAAGACACTGTCCTGTTTTTGAATCTTGCTTATTGCTGTCCTCAACTGTCCTGACTGTCTCACCTGTTTGCTTTCTCCCAACCTGTCATGGGCAAAGGCCCTTGAATGGAGCAAGCAAGAGGAAAGGCAGACAGCCCAGGCCATGCAGTCTATCACACATTGTACATGTACATGCACTACTCTGCTCATGCAATGTATGCTGCTATTGCCACCAGCTTGCAGAATCAGTTTGATAGTGTAGCATGCAGGTGTCAGGTGGAGCAGTGAATGACTGACAGTGAAGTACTGGAGGAAAAAGCTGTGTATGTTTTAGGCAGTTTAGACTACAGTGTTAAGCTAGCTTTCAGCTTTCGTGTTGTTTTGGTCAACATTTAACTCAGGCTTCCTCAACCTCGGCCATCCAGATGTTTTTGGCCTACAACTCCCATGATCCCTAGCTAGCAGGACCGGTGGTCAGGGATGCTGGGAACTGCTGTCTCAAAACATCTGGAGGGCTGAGGTTGAGGAAGCCTGATTTAACTGCTCATCTGCTCAGCTTCTGTATGTGGAATGGGTTGCTATCTGGGCCTTTGCATTGAGCAACCAAATGTAGTTGGCCAGCTTCACTCAGGTTCCTTAGTAGGCTTCTCATGGCGTGGGCTCCATCCCATCAGCTCTGTTCCTTAAGAATGAATGACATTTTAATTCTATGCCTAAAGCCACATAGCAGGCATGAAATGTGCAACCATTGTACAGTTGAAGTCCACAGTCTACAAGTTTAAAGTGGTGTTACACTTTTGGTCAGATATGTTTCAGCTCAATCTATTCCTGAACCTGCTTTCAGTCCCTGTGATGTCTCAGGCCTAGTTGAGGTAGTCAAATTTGAATCATATTTTGGACGGATGGGGCAGAAGAGATAATGCAAATTTTCTGTTGATTTTTCCTCTGTGCTTAATTTGTATTAGCATAACAGACTGAGCAAAGAGCTGTAGAAATGTTAAAAGATGTTTTTGATTAGCCAGTAAACAGGTATTGGTGTGTCTACAGAAGAGAGACTGTCTTGCATTGTAGCACATGCCATCTTTTTAACGCATCTCTTGAATTTCTTCTGGTGTCACATTATGGTGTGGAGAGTGCAGGTTAGAAGGATGCATGTTGATGCAAGGAAGGTCCTATCTTTGGAGAAAAGGTTTGAGCAGATGGCTCGTTGATGACCGGGTTGTCACAAACAGTAGATGGAATGACAATAAACCTGTGACTGGCCTATATGTCTTCAAAATGCAGGTGGCAGCCCACAAAGACAGAATCTTAGAATTCCAGGATGAAGGCTTTGCTAGATCCTTTTCTCCTGGCATCTCATCAACTATATGCAGCGATTTTGATTTTAAAAGTGTATGTGAAGGCGCATCCCATCAAACAAGTGGTACCCTCCAGACACAGCATTAAAACTCCATCAGCTGTTTGTGGGGATTAGGTCTACACAGAGCTATTTTCTGGTGATTATGTGAAAAAGAGAAGACAAAGTAGATGATCTGTATCTTGAATATGTGTTTGTGGGTTTCCTGGACCTCCCTACCACCACATCTTAATGAAACTGGCCTTGATTTTTGCTTTAGCAGAGCTCTCCACAGCCTGGATCCCTCCAGATGTTTTAAGACTGTTTCACCCCTGAGCATTAGCCATGATGGATGGAACTGGTGAGTGTTGCAATTGCAAAATGTCCACAGGGCACCAGGTTGCGGAAAGATGGGAAAGTCATCAACAGTTGAGTGATCCAGAGGAATCAAATGATTAAAGGTGAATGTGAAACAGTACATAGATAGTACTGCTTCATATTCTCTGTGATCCTTCACACAGAGGGGCCCATGGAGGAAGCAACAGATGAGCTGGTGCACCCACATTGAAAGGCATTTTCCATCCTCCTCACTTGCATACATATCTCTAAAGAAATGTCAGGGGTCAGTCCACATTTCTCTGAGCTCCTAGATTGCCTCTCCATATGACTAAAGTCCACCAGGCTGTTCTGCATCAGGGGTTGGTTCCAGTGGTTGGGCATCACTAGGCACTTGACAAGGCCCACACCCTTATAGGATGCCCTCTGCTGACCCACCCCCAAAACCCCCTCTTTTTCATGCTGTTTCT